TCTCTCTCTCCCTCTCCCTCTCCCTCTCCCTCTCCCTCTCCTCTTGAAGCTTGGGGTTTGCTGTATTTGTTTACTATAGAACATACAGTTGAAGATGTTTGCCATAGGTATCCAATATTAGCATGTCAGTGTGTGTATCTATATACAAAGCTGATCTCAGCCTTGATGAAGCAATAGCTGATACTTAGCTCAAGCTATCACACTGCCCAGAAATGTTCCAAAAATATGAGTCATTAATACTGAGCTAATATTTGTTCTTTCCTTACCTGACCGGCTGAGGGTAATACAGCCAGGAGAGCATTCACTGACAGGCACATCTTGTCAGTATATGCAGGCGGCATTTCTCTATTTACCCGCAGTAAAGACATGAAAGTGCTTTCACCCCAGCATTGTAACCCCAGAGAGTGTCCGCCTCGTTATTCCGTCTAACTGGCAATATGAGCTGAATTCATCGCAACTTATTAAATCAATAAATCACTGCTGAGCAATCCATGCTGGAGAAGGGAAAGTGTTGTCAGCCTGCCCCAGCTTGTGTGTATGGTCCCCATTAGAGTCAATGGCTGCAGCCGCACACAGCACCGGAGAGGGGCCAGGGCTTACCTCGGCTTACCTCGTCTCATTTAGGAAGCCTTGTTGCCAAATAAGAGATGTCGGGAGCAAGGGTTACACAACCAGGACCTGAGATGTCCCTTCAGTATCATGTGAAATAAAAAATGAAAGCCGACCTGGCAAATGTGACCCAGTCTGCCACATAACTGCAAAGTTTTAAAACACAATAACTTGATGACTCTAAGAGATTTACTAATGCAGCAGAGACTGTTCACTTAATTTAGTGAATACGGCGAAGCTGTTTTTTTTTTTTATATCAATGTGCAAGAACTAAAAATCATAGTTGTATTTCAATTGGAGGTCATTTAATATTCAAAGTAAACACAACTTCACTTTATTCACTAAGTTATGTGAAAATTCCCCTTTCAAGGTAAATCGCATCTTTTAGTAAATCAACTCCAAATAACAGAAACATTGGCTTTGCATGTTTTAGAAAATGAAATTAAGTTATATACACTTTAAAATCCAATCATGCAAGAAAAAAAAATCTATTTTTGTATTATCTATTAGATTGTAAGCCCTTAGGGGGCAGGGCCCTCCTTCCCATCTTGTATTGAATTGTATTGTGATTGTAATGTCTTCCTTATATTGTAAAGCGCTGCACAAACTG